GAATGCTTATCGATTCGTTTATTTGGCCTTCTCATTGTTTTGAATCGAACATAACCAATGAATCTGAGGTAGACGAAACACGCTTATGGCGTTCCAAATATCAAACCTTGTATTTTTATTTTCTATCTGCTGCAATACGAAAAGATTTTTGTACGTTAACGTCATGATCTCTTCCCTTGTTTTTTTCATTATGTTATTGGCGTATACCCTACATCAACTTTGATTCATATACATTGTTCATATATAGCAATGATACGTTTTTGAATTGATATTTGTACAAATTTTGAACAGGATATTATTGAAGTTCAGATAAACTAAAAATCAAATGAGAATTGATTTGTTTGTCATTGATTAATATACTATATCCTTTGTTCATTTATATCTAATTCTGACTTACCTAGCACAAAAAGGGAAATGAAACTCCAAAAACATGTATATTTTGATATCATTGCAAATGAAAATATTCGATAATATCCTGTGAAAAACAGGGAAGTAAAGTAAGTAAGTACTTGGTGATTAGGTTGCATATATACATTAGTTACGTCCCCTTTATGATAAAATAAGGAAGTTTGTATTAAGTAACAATATAATACTTAGATTTTCATAAAACTACAGGTAAGTGAAGTTTAAATTTACGTAAGCCACGTAAAGGTAAAGAAGGCAGTTGTGGTCATTAACTATTACAACTTGGCAAAATTGTGTGTTTATTTTATTCGTCTTTTTTTTTTAATTATGACTGTGATGTGCTTTCTCAATGTATCTTACATAAAAACAAATATACGTTTTATTGATTTGTTATCAATTTGTCATCATAATACCACGACAACATTTGGTTCAAAATAAAACAAGGCGTTTGTTTATTATATATGGGGAAACTTGTATGGGAATTATCAATTGGAAATTGCGTTATTGAATACAACTATGCATTTCATTTCGTTCCGAATTGAGGGATATGACAAAATTCCATCAAGGCCTTGATTTTGAGAATATATTTCTAATATATTCCAGAGCTTTCGAGTCCGATTAAGATTCTCTTGATAAATGGTTGCTGTTTACAAAAAAATGTTGAACCAAGGGTGCCAAATTTAAAATAATCCTGCAAAAGTTTTACAGACGACATCATGATTTGGTTTACCGTTCTGGTATAATCAATCTTTTTCTTTGCAGAACGCGACGTATTATACAATTAGTCAAACACGAGTATCGCCAGTGGGTCAAGTACTGCTCACCGTTCTGGAGCATCTGAGTTTACCATCAAGTTTTAGTGTTGTCCGTGTTGTTTAATCTTTAGTTGTTTGTGGACTGTTGTTTAAATGTTAGTCGTTTTCTTTTTTAGCAAATGTATTTTTGTTTTTTATTGGACTTATGTTTCCCCCATGTTTTAGTCTCCTTTTTAATGTCATGTGTTTTATCGATATTGTAATATTTAATTAGCACAGGACTCATGGTATTTGATCAATTTCGTTTTTAAAAAATCCTTTATAAATACCACAACATACAAATTAAAAAAAAATGAAATGAAAAAAATATGATCTAGAACAACAATTAATAATGCTTTAAAATTTATTCATTTGTCTAGGTTTCACTCTTTATCCTCATCTAATTCGTTCCATTTGTATGCTAAAACTGTCTTGTCCTTCACATGCTTCATTCCGATCTTACTTAATTTTTTGTGTAGTTTGTGTGGTGCGACTTTTACTAAACTCTGATATATCACATGTAATATCCTTTTAGTCTTGCATTCTTTCGTATATATTTCCTCTTAATCTGCTTTAACGTTTTTTGTATAGCATTCAGCTGAACATATTGCCCGTACGATGAATCAATATAAGTCTCGTCATCTTTTGTAAACTTTTGGTGCGTTTTTTTCGTCTTATTTCGAGTGTCACTGATGAGTCTTTTAATTTGTAGACGAAACACGCGTCTGGCGTATGAATTTTAAGCCGGTATGCATGATGAGTTTATGTTGCAATAATTAACAGGGAAAACATTCCTATATTTCAAGGGGTAACTGGAAATGTCAATGTGTGGAAGGCCTCAATGTTATTTGAGATCCGTTGCAGAAATAGGATCACCGTTCTGTGTGGTTTTGTCAAGTCTACGTTAGAACATTGTGTCATTAATCAATGTAAGATTTATGTCTTTTAAAATATTAGACAGCTGTATGATTATAATTGTCAAAGCAATAACATTTAACAATAATAATAAAGTAATTATTTGTGTCGATGGAGATTTTAAACATACATACGTAAATTCTATTCATAACGTTTTGTCGAAAATGGAAAAAGTATGTCTTATTATATATTATGGCGACATTATTTCGATTTAGAAAACAAAAAGTAACAATCACAATTGAGGAAATCATATAAATTAAAAAAAAGAGAAAATAAATGCATTGATAGGGTAAGCGTTTTTAGCTATAAATATGGCATGCAGCAACCGCAATTCAAATCAACATTTAGTGAAAATGCAATACCGTTAAAATTACAGATCAAACTACTTACTTGTATCTAAATATCAAATACCACAAACACATGTCGCTAGTGAGCTGAGACATCGCCACATGGTATCGGTCAATCAATTTGTGATTGTAGCGTAGTTTCATTGTTTTCGTTCTTACATATAATGATGTTTGGGCAGTTTTTGTGACAGAAACGCATCCATGTAAATGACCTCTGCACAGTGTGAAAATGCAATAGCGTAACATAATAAATAAGATATGTAAACACTCTACGACGGACAAGGGATAAGTTACTGCTGACAAATGAGAAGTTGACAATTGAAAAAAAAGTCGAATTCATCACGTTTCTAATAGCTAATCGAATGTTAATATCAAGTAAAAAAAAACAAAATATGAAGCAGACCTGCTACTTACGGTTGTATCCTTGATATTAAGTTGACCAGGATAAATAACATTACACAAAATCCATTGAATAATGGATATGAACTGATTGACATTTTAGTCTTAGATACATGATTTTTGTATTTGTTGTTATTGGCTTTGAACTAGCTTTCAGTATGTATAAGAAGCAAGCACTCATTTAAATGTGAATTTTTTAATGACTATTCATCATCAATAGATCTGAAATTGAAATAAAAGAATTTTACAAGATACTGTTTGCGTTTGTCTTTGAAATGGTTCTGTATCCATCCTGCTTTATATGAGTACACCACTGAATTGACCAGTAATGGTGCAAAATTCAAAACCTTCGAATACTGAATGTGTGTCCAAAAAATAAACAACAACCCCCAAAAATAAGACAATGTAATCGATCTTTCAATTTATCATGGACATATATAAAACCACTATACATGCACGCATTTTACTGTGAAGTCTTGATATCTTTAAATAATCATCCATTGAGTATAAACTTCTACTAGAATACATATCAAAATCAGACAATGAACAGTTGATAAATTTTATACAATATCATTACATTGTACATATGTTGTATATTTCAAACATTTCTTTGATGTTATTATTTGAAAGCAGGAAGATAATAACCTTTGTTATCGTTTAAACAAAAACGTCCTTGTGTATTCATATTTTATCGTGATATAAATGTAATACAATAGTGACATATTTTATCATATTGAAATTTTTACAGAATGACTTATAAACGTATCAGTTTTATACTACAACATTTGGTATACCTGATGCAATAGAATCAGTATTTTCACATTGACACCTTTGCCTTAGCACAGTGTTTAAAAATCAAAAAGGGTACATATTTACTTTTAGATATTCATAAGTTCAAATAATTATGATATCTTGAAAGGCTATTTATTTTTTTTACTGTGACGCCTTCCTAATGTCGATAGACAATAGACAATGCGGGTGATGCATAAATGGCAGGACAGGCTTACCATGTGGTAGTGCCCTGTATCGCTTATTTCGCAGTTCATGCGATTCTTTCAGGTTTTTTTTTTTTTTTTCTTTTTTTTTTTTTTGTTACATTAATTTGTGTCTTCATGATCGATTTAAGAAATAAGAGTCTCGGTACACTTCTTTTAGGTTAATTAAACCAAAAATTCCAGTTATTTTAAAAACGTGAAATGTCTGCTCAAAACTATATAATACGTTACATTTAAACCTGATATCTCAACACATTTGTTATCTCAAATCTTATATATCGGACTGGTCAGCTTTAAGATAACGAGAGTAGACTATATCTAATACAAGATATACATCGTTTTTTAATCATCATTTAGATCTAAAATGAAATAGAAATTCAACCATTTTGGGATTCAAGTACCACAATAACTAGGTTAAACTAAATCTACTAAAACTTCACAAGTGTTTTGCACTGTATTTGACATGACCAGAGATATGTTTTTTGTTATTTACATTTCGATTATTTGACCTACGTACGTATTTTCAATCATACTAATAATAACCTATGAAAACAAACGTTTATTGACAAAAGAGTTTTACAATTAACTAAATAACAATTGACGAAAATATTACTTAGTATAACCAGATACAATATTGTGAATTTTCACATTATACACGTACAATTAAAAATGTATGGCAAGTCTCAATTTGATAACTATTTCGCTAAATATAAATAACTATCATAAGTTTGTGACAATAAGATAGCAAACATCCCGTTTGTCGTGTTTTCTAATATATGAAATGTCCATAAATAGCAATTTAAAACAAACATTATGCAGAAGAAGTTGATGTCTCTTGTCCAACCATGTAAATATAAGTTCGCTTAATTATACGAGATGCAGGGACTTAATGAAACAGAATTATGAAACCAACGGAAAGCATCAATATACAAGAAGGAAAAAAAATAAAGGATGCTTTTACACGTTTGTATCGTCCTCACTTTTTTCGTTTACAAGGGATTGTGTAAATTTTGTTTTAAACATCATTTCCATATAAGTATAATTAATGTAACAATACCAATCAGAAATAAAAGCATATGTGGAAATTAAGTTGTCACTGCACATCAATATATTTAACTTCTGTCTGTTAGTTTAGGGTAACTTACCTTGATTTGCCTGTTTAATTTATTCATGAGATTTGAACATCGGTTAACTTCTGTTGCATATATTCGATACGGAATTGAGTATTTTTTGGTGTTTTTACCACCGAATTGTAGTCGAACTATCTAGGACATAAAGAAGCATCAAACAAAACCCTGTAATATAATATCACATTTAATAACAACATATAAAATAATTCTTTTAAAACATGTATCATATCAATCTGATAAGTTACCGTAATTAACCAAGTAACTGTAAAATACGTCACAGTTTAGGAAATAAACAAAAGGTATAATTCAACCTTATCTAATCAAAATATTACTTCATGTGACGTTCGAAACAGAACTTAACTTGTCAAAAGAAACAAAGTAGAAATAAAGTTGCTCATTTAGCAATAACATTATTATATACGAATAAGCCGTTAAAACTATAAACAAAAAGTTTACGAAATATTACAATACCATGATTACTAAAGCCAATAGCGAGAAGCAGATAAGTAATAAAGCTAAACAAAGCAAAATTTCTAAGCAAATAAAATAACAAGCACCTACAAATAAACACTCATTCTTACCTCGTATCAGTTACAAAGGTTATGCCTCAACGTATAACTACATCATATGCATAACTATGTCATAATACCTGTATAACAAATGCTAACATATTGTTACTATGCACATACTTATATAGTACTTAAAATCCATCAATCTGAGACAAAAATGTAAAAAAGACTCAGAAAAGTATTTATCAAGTTACTAGTAACATATTACTCATTTACTCTCGAACTCATTCTGCTCAAATATTCGTCATTCGTTACGTACTTTTACACTTGTTTATATAAGGCTTAAATTATGTAATTCAAATGTAAAATAATAATGTGCCTGTGTTAAAAAATACGTTATCCTTTTAAATAATTTACAACATTCATTCAACAATCACACGATACACATTTTTACTACGGAGTCATGCTAAAATTGGAAGTTACTAGTGTGTGAAATACTGATTAATCCGGTAGCAAAATTACGATGAGAAAAAGATATAGGCAGAATATCTAGAAAAAAGTATGCACACTGACCTGAAATAATGATTGAATTCCTCTAGTACAAATATATGAAATATGAAACAGCAAATACATAAAAGAAAATATATGATACGTGTGTTCGGTTTGAACATCAATCCGGAATTAACTATAGACTTCAATAGAAATAAACCGACAAAAGATATATGACCAATGACATAATAGAAAGTCTACGACCAAATCAAGCGTAAAAAAAATGACCATCAAAATAGAAGAAATGAGTAACAATCAGGACGAAACTATTCATTCGTCAAAGTCTGTGAATATAAAACACAAATGGTACAACTCATAATTACTCACAATCTGGAATTAATCTATTAGAAAATGATAACACAAATATGTTAGGAATAAGATCATCTTTATTTTGAAGTAAATTCAAATGAGAAATTAAATACCTATAACAAAATTATATAAATATTTTTTTAATCATCATTACACACACGCTAGCATAGAAGTTATAGAGATACCTGATTTTCTGCAAAATTGTTAATGTACTTTTTTCCGTGTTTTTTTATTTCACTCATAGCAATTCTACTAATATAGATAACAGAAGAATATTGCTAGTTATCTTGTTCAATCTTGATACATTTCAATAAGACTGTCGCAAAGGATGGCGAAAAAAGGGATATGCAAACAAATAAGTCGATAACAATGCAATGGCAAAAAGCAAAAAAAAAAGTAAGAAAAAAACAACATTACACAAAACACAACAGGAGGTGATTTCATGTGATGTAGAAATGTAAGTATATCATGCACTACATGTTACACCCGTCGTGTTGTTCATGTAAGTACAAGCCGATAATAAGCCTGATTCAGTAGGTCACATTCGAGGAAAACCTTCGCAATTTAGAAAATTAACTGTGGATAGTTTAATAATCAATGGCCTTACCTTCAAAATATGTAATAGTAGTAGCTATTTGTCCGAAAGATTTGATTTTTAATTCGAGGTCTCAATACTCGAGACTGGTACATTATCATAAGTCTATCCGGAATTATGGAATATGAAAAAAAAGCACAAATGTTTTTTGATTTAAATTAGTACGAACTGTGTTTGAATACCTTTATCAGACAAATATCAAAACTTAAACTCTCTTTAGGTGATTGAGACCTCAGTTGATACATATACTCGCTTAGGCTTTCTTCGGTTTTTTTGTTTCGTGTTCCTCAGACATAAATGCATATCTAGCTTTTATCTCAGGTCTCCAAGTATTCCTGGTGAGGGTTTATGAAAACATGATAAACATGTATGTTTCCTTCAAGATTTCGCATACAATTGTCAACGATGACATACATGTACAGAGTTTGAATTTAGAGCACATTAAAATTTTTAATCAAACACATGTACCAATTAATAATATACAATGATATAGTTCTGCATCTCATCAAAGTGTCTTTTTGGATCAAAATTCAAAATACGTCACCTTGGTTTTGGAAAATATTCTGAGTAGATATGCAGAGCGTGAAAGTTATGCCATCATCTAAGATTTATTCATGCCAGCTTTGTTTCCAATCCAAAGACAACGTTAAGAAATGTGGCTTCTAGTTAGATTAATGTCAATTACCATTCCGATATTTATGATGCCTAATCACTTGATATAACGTATCCTAGTATTTTTTAAGACTACCACGATGGCTGTGCTAAACTGTCTGGAGCACATGATACCCCCCGGTGTTTTGGTTGTTTCGTTTTGCTCGGTCTTTAGTTAAGTTTTCTATGTTATATTTTGTTTACTATTGTTTGTCTTTTGATCGTTTTCGTTTTTTGCCATGGCATTGTCAGTTTGATTTCGACTAATGCGTTTGAATATCCGATTGGTACCTCTTGCCTCTATTTTAGAGATGGGCGATACCATATAGTCCATTCTTTTTCTGGAACAACTTCAAAAACATTGATAGATGTAAAATATATATCAATGAGGTGGAAACGTGTAATGCTTGTGTAGAGTGAAGTGAAGTGACCGAACGTCAAAGATTTAATGATAACGTTACTAACATGTAGAGAATTTTTTACTGCATGTCTTTGTATGGATTGTTGTTTGTTGTTTTGTTCATGCTGTTGAATGTTTCCTTTCTTCGAGTAGTGTTTTGTTTTCCTGAGTCATTTGTGGGATGTATGTATTAGTTTTTGATTTGAAGAGATTTATATCGATGATATTAAAATATTATATATGATTTTTATCGATGAATAAAAATTTATAGTTTTATGACATGGATGCAATGGTGGCATACTGTGGATAGAAGAGAGATAAAAACAGTGAACAAAACCCGAATGACAACTTCGGGTCACATATACTCGCAAACAACAAGCAAACAATATGTCAGTTCTAACAAAATAATCAACGATTTAATGTTTTTCCATTGCATTTCTCCCACTCAGCACTCACCTGTCTGACAGGCGAAATTTCTGAGCAATATATTTACTCCTGATATAATATAAACAACTCGAAACCAACAATATGTCCATAAGTACTTACGTTAAAGTAAAGACCGAAAAATAAATATAAAAACATAATTTGGAACGCTGTTGATCCTCACAAGTGACGCTCGAATTGAAACAGTTGGAATTCGAAGTTAAGGAGCAATAAAAACAAAATATTTAAAATAGAATGTGACAAATAATGCTAGAGCCATATATAACTTTATTGGGTAGAAAACCTAAGGGTTTCGAATAATTCTTAAGTATATTAGTTTACAGAAAAAAGACAACAGTGTGTAAAATTTATTTTGAAAAAATGATCAGTAATTTTCGGAAGATTAATAATTCGTGGACAAAATATAGATTATCATTATCTAGACCATTTCATAATTTTTAACTGTAATTATATATTTTTTCTAATTATTTATCGTCTTTTGTTACTTGTAATCACCTACTAGTTTCTTATCTGAAACGGTCCTTGATTTTTTTTACGACGTTGATTACTGAGGGAATTTTGTTAGTGTTATCCTTTTGTAATTCGGAAATCTAATCAGGACAGATAAGATTTGTTTACAGACGTTCAACACCACATATAGTATTTCATTGATAATGTGTTTGTAAGCTGAGTGTTAAGGTGTAATACCACCATTGTTTTTACCCGATAAGTCTTTGTTAAATTTGCACTTTTCAAAAAATTGTGCAGAATTTATCTTTGTTTCAAATAAAGAAATCCTTGGCATGAGTGAAGTTTTATCCTGTTCAGTACTACAGACAAAATTTCACATCATATTTCATTGCATATAAGATAATAACCGTCACTGGACGTTAACCAATTAAATTGTCACCCCAGTTTTCCTGTGTACAAGCTTAAGTAACCATGTAACCTGAAGTTTCCAAATTTTTTTATAGAAACACCAAATCAAATAAGAATGGTGCTTTGAAACACCCAAGATATTTGTTTATGACTCAGAATTTTTTTACTGCAATGAAATTTAGGATCAATTTCCCACAAATGTCAAATTCAAGGGAATTTTTTTATTCGACCCTTTTTCGTATGCAACCGGATGTGACGTACTATGATTTGGTGGTAATACACCTTAATAAGAAATATGTTGAAAGAATGTATTTGTTGAACAAAAGTTTAATTTTATTAAATGCAACACGTAGTTAAGATGCTTTGTCGTATATTCCCATGTTATTGGTGTTATCATGGTTTTTGTATGTCGAATATGAATATTCCCCTTCAACCACTGAAAAAGACTGATCATATACACCGTTACCATCATAGGATTGTCCTTTTCCGAAATCTGAGCTATCATATGTTAGGTCCTCCTCATTTCGCGGTGCACCATGACTGTGATACAAATTTTCTTGTACACTTATTCTTCGAGTTTGTATATCATGTAAATGATCATATTCTCCATACCCTGCATCAATGTATGTCTCGTTTATATTTCCCGATGTCTTTATTTTTTTTACCACTGCATATACTGCTGTACTGTTTCCAGCAAGTCCGTAAGTCTGGTTTGATGTTGGTGTTGTAATTCTTTTCTCTGTTGTACTATTTGAATCTTGGTATACTGTCTTTGAAAATTGCATCTGACTATTTTCTTGTTTATCATGTGTTGATGATTCTTTAAAAATTCCAATTGACCTGTAATCCAATATTACCATTACAAAAGGATATGTATAGAATATGAAAATCTATAAATACAAATACCTAACGGAATATCTATATCTTTCCTCCTTATAAAGTGTATCGAAATTTTGTTAATACTGCTTTTTTAAATTTCCGTATTGTTATATATGATGGGCGGAATTACAATTTATGTACTAACTTTTCTAATACAATTCTCTTCCGCGTGATACATGTGATATATTAATAAAGAACCATTATAAAAAGACGGATATATAGCTTTCCTGACTTTTGCCATTTTTAACTTATAATAGCGACCTAAGTTGTCTTTTATGAACTAAAGGACAATAAAAACGACATCTTTTTATATAACATCAGCGTGAGTAATGTATTTTCTTCTGAAACGATATTGATTACCTTAATTTGCATACAATCAGTGCAGCTAACAAAGCAATTACAGAACAAAATCCCAGTAGTCCACCAATAACTGTACCTATAGATTTTGTATAATTTATAGAATAGATATATGACAAGTGAACATGAATATCAAGCCAGTTAAAACAATTATTTCATACAAATACAAACCTGATAGCTAATGTAGTAGTTATGGGCAATAATAAATACGTGGTAAAAAGTTCAAGGAGTTCACCTGACCGTTGACGGAAATGTTAACAAACAAAGGATGAAATCAAAATAAAAAGTTTTCAATTTCATAACTATTTTTAGTTTTATAACCCAAATCCTATGAACAACCCTCAAGATGAGTGCTACAATCATTAACAGAATAGCTATTTTTTTACCAGAAAACGTTCATCAATAAAAAAAATATGCCAAGTTCAGTTCAAAAAAGCAGTTGGTTTTCAACGATAACCAATTTTATTCTGTTTTCATATAAATCATTTGTTTTTATTCTCCTATCCTTAAATTAATTATCATTGGACTTAATTTCTATTTATCATTAAACAAATGTCTTAACACTTGGTATGTTCGAAAATGATAAGGTACTTCTATTGTTAAGGATAACGTTATAACAAAATAAAATGATAACAAAACTGTCACAAAGATTGTCCATTTCTATTGCGTACTGTCGGGTTACGACAATAATTATTCATGTATCAAATTCAATTGTATTTTGTTTTCAGTTAAAAGTATTATCCTTTCTATAACGTTGAAAATAACCAATATTCTTTTTTGAGTTCAACAAGTTAAACATGACAGTGTTTCTTATACAATAAATGACCCAACAGAGCTCTGTAAAAGTTGGACAGAAATCGTTTTATAATCTCTATCACCAATTGGTTGACTAATGCCATAAGTTTGTGTCAAACTCACTAGCCTCGTTTTTTGCAGTCTTAAATCTCCAGATACCAGTAACGTTGTCCTTGTCTAAAATTTTGCTAATAGTGTACTATTTCCGATTGTGACATTTTGACTAACTCTAGATTCGCATGGCCAGTGATGCTTGCAAATAAGGAGACGCCTTTTCTCGCAATAACTCTTTTTGTGTTCTTTTTTTTTTCTTAATTTTTTACGTCTAATTGTATTTTTGAATACTTGAACATCAGTAAACAACTTTTGCCTCTATTGTTTCTTGATATCTGTACGTAGCAACATGTCAGAGGCATCTGCTTATAGGATGTTCACATGTCCTTGTTGATACAATTTTCAAAATTCTATGGTTTCTTACTAAAATTTTTCTCTTTATGGAGAATTTTTGCTATGAGAAAGTAAATGATCTTTGATATCTTAATGGCTTATATCGAAACTGAATAAATATTTTGGAATTTTACAAAAAAACCATTACCCAGTTGTTGGTACAAAATATGTGTCACAGATGCCCATTGACATCTTGTACTCCGCGTTTCTGCATCAGCGCTCATTTTCGTAATTAAGGGCATATTTAATGAAACTAACAGCAGATATGATATCAGGAAAAACGACATCTGCCACTCATAGAGCAAAAACTGATAACAACTAAAAAGCGCATGATATAAACCCTGTTTGTTTTGGTTTTTTTTTTTTTGGTTTTTTTTAATTCTTAGATTCTTTTGTTTCGTCTTGACTGTTGTAAGTATTTTTGTGTTAGATTATCATTGCCATTGTGTCCTTCGTAAACCTATGACATTGATGATTTTACAATTTTTGATAATACCAATGTTTTACACTGAACCTTATATTGTATATTATATAAGTTTATTTGGAATGGAAATATCAGGTTTTTAATAAAATAATGTTTCTTTCAAGTCTTTTCTCCTTTATATTGCTGCACTCACCGATAATTTTGGAGTTACCTCCCTGTTCGCTATGGCCTTTTTTAAGTTTTGTGTGTTTGCTGTCTTTAGTAAGTCCTGGTGGTGTAAAGGAATGCGTCACGTATGACATTCGTGCTATTATGTTAAAATAGAAAAAAACAAATATTATATTATACTATATTTCAATACCATGAAATATTGTATGTACTATATAAAATTAAGTAAATTTGGTATGATTGCCAATGAGACAACTATCCATGAAAGTTCAAATTAATGGATGTGAGCAATTATGCTTATGCTAGTTTTCTGCTTTCATTAGTATTTGTATATATTATAAATATGTTAACTTTATTTAGTGTGTCATCTTAGGACAACATTTTTTTTTAAATAGTGAAGTATAAAGTGCATTATGTGCAATCTTTATAATTACTTATTTGTAGCTGACCTTGAAAGATCACGTTTATCGTTTTCTTTGTTGTAATTTGTTTTAATAAAATTGAGAATGGAAATGGGGAATGTGTCATAAAGACAACAACCCGACCAAAGAGCAGAAAACAAACCAAGGTCACCAATTGGTCTTCAACACAGCGAGAAAATCCACCACCCGGAGGCGGACTTCAGCCGGCCCCTTAGCGAAAAATGTGTAGTAGTTCAGTGAAAATGGACGTCATAATAAAGCGTTAGTTTTTGTTGCAGTTCAGTGTTTCTGTTGTTTCGTTGTTTTCCTCTTATAGTTGATGTGTTGTCTTTGGTTTTGGTTTGTGACCAGGATTTGTTTTTGTTTAGGCCAGACTTGCGAGAGACACAAAAATGCGGCGGGGTTAAACATGTATTGTGAGATTTTAACCCTCCCCTTTTACCTCTAGCCAATGAAGAGTAAGCAAACACACAGCAATACGCACAGTAAAACTCACTTTAAAAAAGAGTCCGATGTTAGAATAGGTAACAGAGAACCTCAATGAAACTGATTGAAAGATTATGTCTTCATCATATGAAAATCAAGCACATTCCCTCCCGTTAATGGTTTAGTATCATACCATCATAAAATATATGAGAAAACACATAACCCGTATCATGCCAGCAATTGATTTTAGAATGAATGTGTTAATTTCCGATGCAAAGACTCTATGAGTGAATCAATATTATTTCAATAAAATGCCATCTTTAATGACCTGGCAACAGTATTGTAACTATATCCCTTCTGAATAAATCTGTTTTAAGGTTTGGTTAGCTTTTGAGGTGAATGGACATTTGTGTGCTTTGTGCAGAATATTACCACAAAAGATTGGATGTGAAATACCTGAACGTATAAGATGTCTGCATGTTGATTTATCTTCATGAATGATGTCATTGTACCGATGATATAATTTTGAAAATGTTTTGACTAGTTAGTGATATTGGAAACCCTGTTGTAAAATTTTTTCAGTAATATAGAGATCTCTTTCGTTTCGTTAAAGTAAATCAAATTGTTACATACACGAGCAAATCGAACAGTATTAGATTTAAACAACATAAGATGGTGACAAGGGAACGTCTCCATCTAAAAATCGATAATTAACAATAGGAAATGAAAAATCATCTCTTTTATCTTATATTTTGGTATTCAGCTTCCTGTTAAAAATATAAATATCAAGATCCAGGAAAAGGCAGTGGTCATTTTTAGTAATAACTTTATTTCAAGCCAGTTCAGCAGGATAAATCTCTTTAATGCGAATACTGAAGTCGTCATTATTGAGAGCAAATATATCATCCAGATATCTAAAAAGTAAAATAGCAAAAATACCGAACTCCGAGGAAAATTCAAAACGGAAAGTCCCTAATGAAATGGCAAAATCAAAACCTCAAACACATCAAACGAATGGATAACAACTGTCATTTTCCTGACTTGGTAAAGGCTTTTCTTATGTAGAAAATTGTGAATTAAACCTAGTTTTATAGCTAGCTAAACCTCTCACTTGTATGACAGTCGCACAAAACTCCAAAAGTGTTATTGAATTTTTGTATCAGATGTTGTTTCGATGGGTCTGTGCTGATTTTATTCATAAATGTAACTCACAACAATACAGAAACAGAACCGCAATAGGAGGTGCACAGTAAGTCCCAATTGGTATTCCGATAACTTGAAGATATAAGAAATCTCCATAGCGAACAAAATGTTATCTAGTAAAAATTCAAGTGCAGATATCGTATCAAAACAAGTCCAATTGACATACTTTTTTGTTTGTTGTTACTAAAAAAATAACCTAAAAGAGTTTGAACATATATGTTCGCATTCTGACTTTTTAAATGCACATTTGATTAGGTGTGTGAATTTTTCTTAATGAGATTATGAGGTAAACTGGTATATAGGGTAGACAAAATCAAAACTTTGAACAGATTAGAAATCACCAATATGAGCATGCAATTTTTCAAGTGTGTATGTATGATTACAAACGTTGACTTACATGTATGTCTCTTCCGATTTAGTACGCCTATGTTCATGTTTCTTTTATAGACGTGGTAAGTTTACTGAATTTGTATAACACACTTAGTTTGGTGCCGCTTTTCGAAAATACTTATAAGGTCACGTATATGTAAGATAGAATCTGTATATTTGGTAATGGCAAATTGGAGAACGTTTCTCCTTTACTGGTTTTTTCTATATATCCTGATGGTGTTGTTCTGCTGATTCCGTCGTAGATAAAGTATATATTTAGTAAGTTATTTAGTCGCATATCAGATAAAAAAACGTTGAGAACACAAGTACAATAAGGTACGCCAAATGTATTTTCCTTTCTATCACAAATATAGGAATTTATGAAGGAAATATTTCATAAGTGGAAGATACTACTTAGTGTATTTTACATATTCGTGTGAACTACAATCCCGTCCCCTTTTCCCCGAATGTGACCTACCGAATGAGATTCATCACTTTCACGAGGAACACGACGGTGCCACATGTAGAGCAGGATCTGCTTACCCTGCCGGAGCACCTGTGATCACTCGTAGTTGTGAGTAGGGTTCGTGTTGCTCAGACTTTAGTTTTCTATGTTATGTTGTGTGTACTGTTGTTTGTCTGTTTATCTGTTGGTGTTTTTCGTTTTTAGCCATTGTGTTGTCGGTTTTTTTTTCGACTTGTGAATTTGAATTTCCCTTTGGTATCTTTCGCCTCTCCTTTATGATTATAATATTCAAAATGAAAAGTACACTGTGGTTACATATGTTTTTAAATTGATTCCGTTGTTTTCAGCTGGGAATTTTAACTCGCAATAATGTCTTTTACTTATCCCAAATTCAGTATATTGCAAATTTGTAAACTCGTGAATACACAAATATAATCAGAAGTCAAATGACACAAATAAAAAGATTAAACACCTTGATAAATTGCTGAAATATCTTAACATATTGAAATAAAACCGAACTGACCAGTTTTACGAGTACTTCTATTTATATATTTTTGTGTTCGATTCAATGGACTTGGTGATGTGTTCATATCTGTATCTTTGACTTGTGTTACCGTAAACGGTGTTGTTTTACTGTTTGTTGTACTGGTACGGGTCGTTAAAACCAAAAAAAGAGAAGAACAGGATCAAAGGAATTAGAACAGAGAACATGGATACCATAATAAACTGCACCAATTTCTCTTAATTCAAATCGTGCAAGAAGGGAGAAAATAAAAAGGATAGGCGTATTTTGACGAAACATTTTACCGCGAGAGAGGAGATGGACAATCCACAAGTTGCTAAAGATGTTATACAAATGTATAGAAAAGATAGTATAATTTTTAACTTAAACAAGAGGAACATCCGTTTGAATTTTATTCCATTAATATTTAATATAACACCTAAGACCTATTTGAAGGAAGAAACGAGAGCAATCTTAAAATTTTCTGTATAAAGGCTAACAAATAATCACCTCTTTCCAATTCGATTCATCTGATTAAATGCATTATCACTTATTTTAAGTGTACCTAACCTTGTTCTATAGTATCCTTCGTGAGTTCGATGAAACGAGTAATTTTCTTCAATCATTCCATTGTTTTAAGAAATTTTATCTCCATAACCGAAAAGGCAATTTCAAACCAATATGAATTAAAAAACAAATTTCGGACAGTTCACCTTTTTAAGCTATTAACATTGAGTATGAATTACACTACTACATAGTGCCTACTAACTGGTTGATTCTCAATAAGGGAGAAGATCAATTCTCTATTATGTTCTTATTTTTATATTTTCCCTTTTTTATTTAAGATTTTTAACCGCATTACCTGCCCCGGTTGCTTTTACTGTAATGTTTAACATAGTAAAGACAAAAAATACATTATTTTATTATTAAAGTGACTTTTAGGCTAAACGAATTTAATTTAAAATCAAATGAAAGACTATCAAACAGCAAGTTGTGTTATTCTAAGGTATACCTAAAAAGTCAATGTTCATATAAAAAGTAAAATAACTAAATTACCGAGATCCTAGGAAAATTCAAAGCAGAAAGTCCCTTATAAAATGGCAAAATCAAAAGCTTAAACACATCAAACGTACGGAAAACAACTGTCATATTCCTGACTTGGTACGGGCATTTCCTTAAGTAGAAAATGGTCGACCAAACCTGGTTTTATAGCTACATGTGTGAGCAAAACAAACAGATATAATAGGTCAATATGTCAAACACTAGGGTACAGCAGTCTGTTTTATATTCTTGGTCACTATAAAAACAAGCAACTATGTCAACAAAGAAAAGCAAGAGAGCATATAGACGAAGCACATAAGCAAAACTTAAAGACAAAAATACAACAAATTACTAGAGCACAATAACACAATGGCGAGATGTATATAAAAACCGAGCCTCATCAAAAAGATATTACCAAACATGGACTAAACAGTAAAGGTTAAAAATATGCAAAGACATATAAAAAGAACACTATAACACGTAATTAAGATGATAAACAAGTCAGTACCTAGAATCTATATTTCAAGACCATCATGTATTTTTTGTAAAGTTGATATGGAATATTTATTAATAAGGGCTACTTTCGTGCAACAAATGTTTTTGGACCAATTGACGTTTGGTTGTGATAATCCAGACAATGTGCACGAAGCAATCAACTCACAAGTAAAGTAAAGTCATCGCTGAC